CCCGCCAAGGCCCTCCCTGGCCCCGAGCAGGCAGGGGTTGGGAGAGACAGGAAGGAAGCAACTTACCCTCCCTCTTCTCCTGCCTCCTCCTGGCTGAATGAGGGCTGGAAGCGGGGCGGCCGGAAGCAAGGGGCGGGGCTTCATCGTGTGCCCCGCCCCCTCACACCTCACCCGGGGGAACTGCGATCCCCCCCCGAAATGACCTCTGGTAATAACAACCAAAAATTCAAAAATGATCAGCAGAGGAAATAAACCAATCAAAGCAAACCAGTATCAGCAAAACAGTATCTCTTCTAGATAACAACAACAGAAATTGGTCAAGGATCCAGTCCTGGAGGATATCAAATAGTAAGGCATTCCAGGACCATGAAGCTACCTTTATATGAAACTAAGAGTTGCCCTGCTGGAGGACCTGCTTTGGAGGGCCAACAAGCAGGGTATAAAGGACAAGGCCTTTTCATTATGTTGCCTCCTAGCACTTACATTCAGGTGTTTACTGCCTCTGGAAGTAGAAGTTCCCTGTAACATAGCACCACAAACAAACTGGACACAAACTGGTAACCAGTGGAGCAATGGCAATAGTGGTGCTGCATGGTTATATTCAGTGCCTAATATATCACCTGGTTCAGAACATGACAGTCACACCAGCTGCAGGCAATAGCTGCAGAAATCAGCATCAGCACTAGGAACCAGGGGAGCTCTTTAGTTTCCCATTCTGAATCAAAGGCAGACTTTTACATATATGCCATTTGGAAGGTTCTTGTGGCATAAACAACACTGGCAAAGTTTCTCTTTTTCAAGAACAGGAATAACTGACTGATCTATTCACTTTGGCTGCACGTGTCTCCAGTGAGAGCCTTTATCTAAAAAACTAGAGAAAGATCTCAGAAATAGTCCAAGTTTCCTTGCCAATACTGAATTTGTCGTTTATCCATACTCATCCAGCTGATTTCTGTTCTCAGCTTTGCATTTAAAGACAAAAATCACCACACCTCATTAAGTGGGAAAGGGAAGATCAAGCTAGGTATCATTAGTCTAATGATGACAGCTCTGTCCACAACTTTGGACAACATCTTCCAATCGTTTCACATAGACATCAAGGAATATGACAGACAGAATTAGACATTGTGGAATTTCATAAACCAAGTTTCACAGGCTGGAAAAAACAACAGTCTCTCAGCATCCCCTTCAGGAATTTACCAGATGAAGAATCCAATATGGCAGTATCTAAAAAGACTAGGATCCATAAAGTTCTAGGACCAACCCATTTTAAAAGGTCTACCATCCATTTGGAGAGAATTAGACATCATTAGCCCAATCTCAGCCAAAGAGTGATCAACCTATGCCAAAGAAAGTACAGTGGATCCACAGCTTATCCATAAACTGCTCAGAACAAAAGACCAAACTGAAATAATAATCCTTAACATGCATTGGATACCAGACCTCCACTGGGATAGGCCCACAGTTGTCATGGCAACTATGAACTCCTGAGCTACACCAGCTAACACAGCCTCATCAGGGAATTGAAAACCCAGAACAATAAGCCCGGAAGACTTTAATACCACATCCAAGATCACCTCCACCATCTTAGTCAAGGATATGGCATACATATTTAGCTGGACTAAACAACCTAGGGACACAGAGGACAAATTCTTAAGACTTAGATTACAGTACAGCTGCCTCTTGCCTTGTGTAAAGCAGAAATTTAGCCACACACAGAGGGACTAGTGTGCCACTCTCCTGAATCATGCTTGTGGTGTCTGCAATTCTTAACATTTGTGTTGCAGCTCCTCAGATGCACAAATATCCCTTTTCAAAGCCTCACAGTTTTTAGGACAAGGGGACTGGTAGGTAGAGGTTAATTATATGGAAGTATCATCTTCAGTTCCTCTTTAGAAATGATTGCTCTATTCAATAGTTCAAGTGGTTCATTTCTAGAGAGAGAGAAGCCAGGGTCTACTTGTGTCTGGAATGAAACCACCCCTAATTCCAGGTGCTTAAAGGCTGGCTCTGAGTATTCCCTGTAAACCCATTCAGTGTGCCTCCTGCCTGGGCTTTGACATTGAAAACAGGTGTAATTTTTGGAGGGACAGGTTCTTCTACCAAATAGCCAGACAGAGTGGATGCTGCTGTAGCACAAGCGAAGTTCCAGCCTGACCTGTAAGCCTTTACAGTCTTTCCAAGTCACTGAAACTGTAATGTATCCAGCCCAGACAAGTCCAGACATGTCCAGACAAGTCCAGAGACAAACGTCTAGCTTCACTCCAAGAGACAATGGACTATGCGGATCCTAGCCCGCTCCAATCAGGGGGCTAGGTTCCTGGCCGAGAGACAATGGGACTCTCGGCCACTGTAAATAACCTATTGGGAAGTGGGGGGGGGGGTGTTTTGGGTGGCGGTTTCTTGGGGAATATAAGCCGGCCTGCGAGCCGGCCAAAGTCGTCTTGTTCCTGACTGAATAAAGTACGCTTTGCTGAAATCACTCTCCGTCTGCGTACTTTTCAGAAACCAACCAATCTGAGTAGGTGGAGTCATTCCACAGTCAATTAACTCTTTACTGCCTAGAAAACAGACTGGACCTGTAGCCCTGATGACTCAACACACAACGAGTGGCAATGCAGAATTCTATGGGGGTTCTCCTGAAAACAAGCAATGGAGTTGAACTTTGGCTCAAATAAATCTCTCCATTTCCTCCCTTTGTATGCTGATCCTCTTTTGAGCTCTCTGCACAACAAAAGGCATTGCCAGATCCAACTCTTACACCTCCTTTTGTGCCATACTCTGCAAGCCTGAAGCAGAAAGCAGCTGTTTTAATCAGAAAAAAATAACCAAATATGAAATTCAGAAGCAAAATAAGAGCAGATCTGGCAGTCTAATCTTTTGGCAAGCAACCCAAAGTGGGTGGCATATCTATTAACAGCTCTTAAACCATCCATCTTGAACAATGAACTGGCAGGGGGAACATCTGAAACACCACCTCTTCCAAATCTGAGAGCCAGGTGAGGGAATAAGGCAGGATATATTTACTGGATGATGTCATATCATGCACTGTAATAGATCTTCATTAAATATTAAAGGCATCGCACACTTGGAAAACGTATTAACTGTGATCCTGAATGGGGTTTAATACAGTTAAGAAGTTACAATGCAGCTGGCAACAAGTAATGAAGTTAGCTTACTACATTTCGTCTTTAAAACATAAGCATGTTTTTATTTTACAAGGCAACCTCAGAGCTTAGCCATATTTGTGCAAATTAAAACCTTTACTACCGATAAACAGAAACAGTGTCTTAAATTACTAGAACTAATTGCCACATTATTCCAAAGGGAAATATTCTGCAAGAAATATAGAGGTGGGCAGATTAGGTAGCTCCCCAGTATCTGTGCATTGATCCAGACTGTCACAAATGGATAAAAAAGGTAGACACTGTAGTTCACGCCAGTTCAGTAGAGAGCACGTGTAAACACAACTGTTTATATGCACCAGAAGAATCCAATAGCATAAACAGAGAATTTTATACCTTGTCTACCACGTACACATGAAGTTGCCTTACACCGAGTCAAGCTATTGGTCCAACAAGGCCACAACCATCTATGCTGATTGGCAATGGCTCTATAGGATCTCTGGTCAAAGTCATTTACATTACCTACTATCTGATCCCTTTGGAGATGCCAGGGATTGAATCTGGGAGCTTCTATTCTCTACTACTGAGCCACATCCATTCCCCAACTAGGCACGTAATATCTAAGAGATGCTGGAGCATATGCACAAGTCCAAAAGGTCCATGGTATACAGAGTGTATTGGCTGGTCGATGTACTAATTCTCCACTGGGCTGATCTGCGCAGTTGGCTAATATACACCCCCTACCTTAATTAAATCATATTCTCTGACAACCATTGGTGATTTGTATCTGTTGACCAGGCAAAATGTAAAATCTCTCATTGACACTGTTAGATTTATAATAGCACACCTGCTAGAGTATCCACGCTTGCTGAAGCCTATCCCATTGGCCAGTATTTGAAAACCAGCTAATAGAGTCCAGGGATGACTGGGGAGAACAAATGTGCACCAGATATACTAATCTCTCCACCCTCAGAACTGCCACTGGATGCACACAGCACAGGAAGCCAAAATGGATTTAGAAACATTTCTCATTTATTTCAATGAATCTGGAACGTGGCTTACTGAAGCGCATGGGAAATCTGGGGCCTAGTTTGCACAACTTAACTGTATTTTATTGTGCAGATGAAGTGGGGAATCTGTCTTAACAGCACCATTTCTGATTATATAATGTTCCTCCATGAAAACGATTCATACGTAGCCCCCCACCCCAGTACACTAGAAAATATTACATACTGCATTCCCTGGATTGCTAGTTTTCTGTACGCAGAGGACAGTATCATGTAAAGCAACTTTCAATCATGTAAGTCCCCTGAAGTCTGAAGCCCAGACTCAGGTTGTCAATCTTATCAGCTTTTCAGAAAAAACACACATGTGCATTAGGGTTTGATTTGGAATTTGGCTCAACCCCGCGTCCCAGTCAGAAAAGAGTCCATTTCACTCAAAGCCCAGTTCAGAACCACCACCCCCAATCATGTTCCTCATGCAGTCAGTGGATGTGGGACTGGAGCACCTTGCCTGACCTCTCTATGAGCTCTCAGTTCCTCCTACTTTAATCCCGTTTCCCCGGTCTGGTGGCAAACTTAGTGATAACAATACTAGAAGCAGTGACTCTGCAGCTAGTATGCTTCTTTCCCTCCCTGCTACCTGATGGGATGCTGGTTTGGTCACTACAGAGTAGTCACCAAACTTCATATTCCAAACCAGGAAGTTACAGAGTTGGAGACATCATCAGGGGAAAGTATTTTGTGGACACACGCAGTTAGATAGCTCTGTTCCTTTAAAAGTTAAAATCAGACGTGAGTGCATTACATTGACTCTGGAAGTGCAAGACTCTGTAGTGTTTTTCATCTGTTACATGTGCAAAGCCTCACTCACCTGCTCTCGGTACTTGCTTCCAACTATTTCTGCAACTGTGTTAAAGGAATCCACATCAGGGTAGGTCTTGGCCTCCATCTTCAGAGTCAAAATAATCTTGTTACCCCGGGAAGATATGCGTGCCATCAGTTCAGCATCTTCAACTGAAATGCATGCCGTAGGAATCTTGCGCACACCTGGCTGATATGACTGCATCCCAGTATGTGGGCTGTAGAGAACGAAAATGAAAACGTTATCATTTATTTAATAAGTTTCCATGCTCCACTTTCCAAAGAACGTTTAAGGTGGTTTGCAAATACAAAATAAAATAAATTAAGCCACCAAGACAATCAAACCAAGTGACAATAAAACAAGTAAAAGCAACTTGCAGTGGAATAAACTGGTATCATTGCAACTCAGGCTGATTTCGCGCTAGAGCTGCCTCGATGTTGCGCCGCCATTTGCCCCAATGCTATTGGTCAATTTCACACCCGAAGCCGCGGGGCTGCATTTGACCCGCAGCTTCACCCAATTTCCTCTGCAGTTTCGTGATCCTAAAAAAACAGGATCACAAAACTGCGGGGGAAATTGGGCAAAGCCGCGAGTCAAAATGCAGCCCTGCAGCTTCGGGTGTGAAATTGACCAATAGAATTGGGGCAAACGGCGGCGCAACATCGAGGCAGCTCTAGTGCAAAACCAGCCTTAGACTAAAGTTAAACTAGTGACTAAAACCATAATCAGCATATTCAGAATTTAAAATCTCCATTAAATACCACAAAATATCAGTGACAAAATTACAGAAAACTAAGCTACGTTCAGAGCAGCCAAATGCAATAAGATCTAAAATGCTGTATACTATACAGGTCATAGAAATACATTGGTTGTGAATGAGCAGAAGTTCCTAACAAGGAAGGAATGCATTCCACAGCAGACCAAACAAGGTCCTTTGCAAGAGGAAAGAAGGCAATGGATCCAAGACATCAATTGCAAGTCCAGTCCCTGGAAAACAAACATAGCTATCCCAAAAGATTATTTATAAATCAACTGTTCACAAATACTTGGGACAACCCCCCCACCCAAGCGCTCTGCCTGATATTGAAAAATTAACAGAATGATACAGTACGTAACATAGCTCCTGAAATATATTTATTTAATTAAAATATGTATACCCCACCTTTCCTCTTGGCTCAAAGCGGCTTCACAGGCATCGTGGCCACATGCAGATGTCACAATAAACCTCCGTTACTGTACAATGCACAAATGCGGCCTTTTGAATTTATGCTCTCCTTCTTCTCTTGTGCAAGTAGAGCAATTAAATACTCCTTATTATGGAGAAATCTTGAATCATATTCCTATTCTTCATGATATCTGAATACAAATTGTTATCTCCTCCTCATAAATAAGGATTTTCCCTTGAGATTAAACCCAGGTTTAGAATCTTGGTTTGAGAGAAGGAAATAAGCTCCAGTTTGCCTAGGCACCTGTAGCTGGACATCATGATAAACTGGAATTTTGGTCAATCACAGTCCACACAAGAAGAAGAGAGAGGAGCATGTAGCTATGAAAACAGGAGGTGTCTGTGTCAACCACAAACAAGCCAAAGCTTGTCACGATGCCTGAATGTGGCCCTTCAGCATTTCAGGCTCAATACATTGATATATGACTGATTAACTCATTCATAGGAAATTACTATGGCATTGTAGCTGGCGTCATTGTCTTGACTAATCAATGGGCTGGATCCAGTGCAAGAGGTTACAGAAAAAGCCGATGAAGTGGTTCTTTCCCTCACCTTCCCCAAGCAAACCCAAGCTCCTCTATGAGGGCTGGAAGACAAGCAAAACAGGATAGGGACCACTGCAGTGACAACTGGGAAATCAGTTACAGTTGCGTCTTTCTCATCCATTTGAGGCTGGCATCAGTGCAAAAGGGAGAAAGCCAGTTTCACCTTATTCCCACTACCTGCGAGAGTGTCCCACCTGCAGCACATTTTGCTTTCTTCTGCTCTCTATTGGCTCCAACATACTGACTGGACTGAAATGCGAGTCTTTAGCTTAATAGGTTCAAACAAAAAACACAGCAGGAGTACACAGAATTCCTCATCTGAAATAATGCATGCATACATTTCCTCCACTGACAAAAATCTCCTTCTTGGTGTGACAGCCCCATATGCATTCTGGGCCTCCTGTTACTTAAAAGAACACTGGGTAATGCTAAAGAGCACAGATGAGTGGATTTATTTCCCTTCCCTTATATGACTATAGGAAGACTGTCCATATGCACTACTCCTTAACTGCCTGGCAATGCTATTTTCTGTATATCTGCCATTAGAAAAGAGACATGATGGAGGACGCCATTGTGTTGCACTGTGCAGACATGAGAAAGGGAGCTTCAAATTATGGACCATTCCTAGGCAAAACAGAAAACCATTAGAGATCATGAGCTAATGCCACACACAAGGGCAGTAAAAGATGGAACATCTTCCATTTAATGGAATTAGGCTGCTACCAACTAGGGTAGCCCTTTGCATAGTGCATTCTGTGTAACAAAGGTTCTGTGTAACAAAGACCTCAAAGTGGATGTTAAATCTGAACCTAAAAGAAAAACTTGCAGTCTTTTCATCAAGCATAGGTGATGGAAGTCTGACCTGCAGTCTGGCAACCTAGGTATAGCACTAGGCCCAGCAGCACCAAGATACCGAAGCCCTCTGCACACTGAACCCCCATGACGGTAGAATGCAGTTGACTCGCTTAAGTGTGAACAAGATTTCACCTATGTATCCTTGCAACAAGATAAGGCCAGCCCGCAGAAACTGGTGTTTCTGCCTTCTCGAGATCAGAAGGCCTTATAAGTATAATTACTTTGGCCTCGTACAAAGTCTACTGAAATCTAATTGCCCACCTTCAGTCGCAAGGCACAGACAGATTAGATAGGAATGCATCTGTACAATCTGATGTAGCCCTTCAAGAGGGTACTGGAAGACCTCAGATATGAAATTATTGAACTTCTGACTCTTCTGTGTAACTTTTTTTTTCTAACACCAACCACAATATTTGAGGGCAAAAAGGTGGCAGATAGACTTTTTTTGGCAAGCGTCCAGAAATTATAATAGAAAGCAGAAGCCAGCAACATAAATTGATAGCAGCTACAATTAAGGACAAGGTTATCGGACACATGAGCAACCTAGAGGCCAGCACATACTGGTTGCCAACTCCAGTTTGGGAAATTCCTGGAGATTTGGGAGCAATGCCTGGGGAAAGTGGAGTTTGGGAAAGGGGGGGTAGCTCAGTGGGGATGTGATGCCATGGAGTCTACCCTCTGAAGCTGCCATTTATCCCAGAAGAACTAGGGTTACCGACCTCCAGGTGGGGCCTGGAGATCTCTCCGAATTACAATTGTTCTTCAGATGACAGAGATCAGTTCCTCTGGAGAAAATGGCTACTTGTTGGATCCCCAAGCATCGAAAATAAATCCACGTTTCAGAAAAGCAAAATTTATTTCAAAGCTTTGGAAAGATACTCAAACAAGTCCTTTGTTAGGAATGGGTACAAACAGCCAGGGCAAGTATAATAAAGGGATTTGAACCAGGTACCGAACCAATGGATCACTTTCCCGCTGGCGGGTAAAGGGAAACGGTTGCGCGCTCAATCCCTGGGAACACTACTATCTCCAGACATAATACAGGTGCAGTTCCCAGGCTCTAAAGGCAACAAGCTAGCATTCAAGCCCTCCTCCTACACCACGTCCTCCAGATGTTCGGCTTAGCATTACAGCAAAATAAAATACAGGCTAGCAGGGGGGGGGGAATGAACTGTACAAGCGTACAGGAAACACAGAACACAATGGCAGCTTGCTGACATACTGCCCCCTCCAAAACACATCTTACCCACCGTCTCCCGGGCAGGGCGGGAGACCTCCCGGTTTGGGCGGGAGTCCTCCCGGTCTGTCCGGGAACTCCTTATGGAACTTACGAATCAGATAAGGGGCCCGAATATCCCCTTCTTCCACCCATTCGCGGTGCTGGGGTCCGAAGTCCACCCACTCAACGAGGTACCAGAGCTTACCACGTTTTCGTTTGGAGTCGAGGATGTCCGCAATCTCAAAATGCTCATCCCCCTCAAGAAGTACAGGCGGAGGGGGAGTCACAGAGGGCCTCCATTGAGAGGTACCAGGATCCTTTTTCAACAAACTCATGTGAAAAACAGAATGCAAAGCCC